TGGTCTTGAACTCACAGCAATCCTCCTGCCTCAGCCTCCTGAGTGCTGGGATTACAGGTGTGTGCCACCACGCCTAGCTGTGTCTGGCTCCTTTTACCCAACATAATTTTCTGAGCTTTGTCCATGATTTAATGTTTATCAATAATTTTCAACATTTTATTGCTGAGTAGTATTCTATGTATGGCTATACCACAGTTGGTTTAGCTGTTCTTCTGCTGATGGATGCATAGCATTCTATTCATATAGGTTTATATTGTAGGTAGTGGCTTCTGTTTGTTCTCCTGCATGAGACTGAGTTCATTGGATATAAGGACCCATAGGGCCAGGGATTTAGCTTAGTGGTTCAGCTCCATGCCTTGCAAGTGCAGAGACCTGGGTTCAATCCCCAGTACAAAAAAAAAAAAAAAAAAAAATAGGATATAAGGACCCTTCGCAGATCCTGCTTGAGTTCCCACAACTTAATCTGTGCTTAGTAGACAGTAGTTATTCATTAAATGTTTGCTTTTGAACGAGGAGGTATGAGATAGAAAGTCAGTTGGAAATTACTTTGAATGGTGGTGGAGGGGAGATTAATCCACATTTCTCCCAGGAAAAGGAAGTGATAAGCTCCTGAGCTGTGCTTGTTAGTGGGTACATGGTCCTCCATGGAAAGGATGTACCATAGTCAGGAAAACTTATGGTTGTGTTTTGGGTGGTTGGGAAAGAGAGGCACCAAGATATATAAGACCTGTTGGATATCTACTGTCAGTCCATAAACTGACTAGTCTGTGTCACCTACCTACCTCTCCAGAACAGTCTGCTCCTTCTAGAGAAGGTGGGGTGACTGTGTCATCTCCTGTCCAGTTACAGAACCCCTTGTTGTCCTCACTGCAGGTAATTCAAAGTTAATGTTTGAAATGATGACTTTGACTTACAATACTGAGAGGTCATAGCTAGTCACGTGATTGGAGGTCATGCACCTTCCCTGCTGCTGCCCACAGGGAAAGTCCATGGGGAGGGTTATGAGGGCGGACCAGCAGGAGACAAGATGTCAGGGGACAGGTGAGGATGGTACCGGCTGTTCTTTGGCTATATGTAGGCTTTTGTCTTTGTTTTTTCTTTTTCTTTTTTTACACATTTATTGAGGTATAATTGATAGGAGATAATTGGCACATATTTAAAGTATAAAATGTGAACAGTTTTTACATGTGGGAAAACCTTCACCACAACCCAGATAATGAATATATCCACCACCACAGTCATTTCTCATGTACTTTTATAATCTCTCCACCCCTACTCCACCTCTTCCCCAGGCAGCCACCAATTTGATTTGTCACTATAGTTTAGTTTGCATTTTAAAATACTTTCTTTGTGAAATAAATACATTGATCATATATACATATACTGTATGTGTGTCTGTTTATTCCTTTTCTCCCATCAACAGAGGAAAAGAGAAAGCCCGGTGAATGTATCCCTTGGGAATTGGTTTTGAGTCAAAGGTAACACCCTAGAAGCTAGCCAACTCCTCTACACAATTGTGGTTGGTGATCTTGAGTCAGATATGCGGCACACAGGCCCGGGTTTAATGTTACCAAGCAGATTGGAGGCGGGAGGTGGTTGTTAACTTTCTGAAACTCATTGGCACAATGTATTTAGTGCCTTTAACTTGTGAGTTTTATGAGGTCACTGCATGCAGTGAAGCTTGGTGAATTCTGTTCCATGAAGATGTTTCCATGACATTGGAGCTGTGGAGGGTGGTCCTAGAACCATCACCAACAATCCTGGTGCTGCAGGAACTGTGCCAGCTGGGCTTAGCTAGCAGGGCTCTTGTTTCCCACTTAGAATTTCCCACTTAGAGTCCACACTCTGCCAGTCTCTGGGTTGTTGCATAATGGAGGGAGGGTGCATTGAACAAGAGCACACAAGTGAGAGGGATTACCAAGTTGCTGGTCAACCTACAATCATAATGACATGCTTACTTGGTTGCAGTAATTTTTTATGGTGAATTATTCAGTATGCCAGAATACTTTGACCCTTATTTCTGTTCCAACATTCTATAATGAAGGGCCCAGGTGGAATCAGAAGACCTACTCTACCACATTCCTGACCCCGACTCTTGATCTGTGATAGCCGAATGGAGTTAGAGGACCGTGTGCCCCATGGGGCACTCTCTAGTGTGCATGCCAAGTCCCAGAGTTCACATTTCCTCCTGTGAATGAGCCATGGGACTTCTTTGGACATCTTCAAGGAAAGCCACCAGTAATATGAGGGGACAGATAGAGCTAACAGTACATGCAGCAGGGAGTTCAGACATGCTCAATTTCGCAGCACCTAGCCAGCCCCTTTGGCCTGGCAGAACGTAGAAGCATAGACACACCTTACAGGTGCACAAACCCCAGGGCTCAGAGGGGGTGGCGTGGTGGGGGTGGGGCCAGTTATCACCCAGCCAGGGTCCTGCCACAAGGTCCTTTGTAGATAACCAGGCTGGATGGGGAAGAGGTAGGAGGAGTCCAGGGTCTGCTGCTGGGCTGTTCATCTTGGCTTCATTTTCCTCCTGTCCTCTCATATCCCACCCTGGTGTCCTCTCCACGCTGAGTCCCCAAGTCCCATCCCTCTTCATCAACCTCCCAGGGACCTTTATTTTTGTGTGAAAGTCTTCTAGGCTTCCTTCTCTGGAAAGAAGTCTCGAAAAGGGTTAGCGTCCCACATCTGCCCATCTGCTAAGGTGATCACTGGCCACGAATGGCTGTTGAGCACTTGGACGTAGTTAGTAAAACCGAGACACTGTTTTATTTTAATAAATTTAAATTTAAAAGCTGATGACTGATTTCAGTAATTTGGAAAACTTAAATATGTTTGGAGTAAGTCTGCTTTCTCAACTGTTGATTTTATGAAATCTCAGTAAAAATCAAATATAAGGAAAATTTAGCATCTGAACTGAGATATAAGTTGTAAAATACCCACCAGATGTTAAAAAGTTTATATGAAAAAATTAAATATCTCATTAAAATACTGATTACACATGTTGAAATTACAGAGAATTTACATAAAATATAAAAATTAAAGTTACTGGTTTCTTTTACCCTTTTTTAGGGTGGCCTCTAGAAAGTCTGTTTGGCATATATTTTGTTTCTCTTGGGCTGTACACTTTAGATTGAGTTAGCAGCATTTAGATGAGAGAATGGCTAAACGAAGGAAGACTTGAATTCCTTCTGCAGACCCTAGTGCTTTCCTGACTTCAGCCCGGATGAGTCTTGAGTTCAAGGAGTAGGGAGACAAGCCGTGGAGAGGGGCGATGCCTACTCCCCACTCCAGGAAGCGCCTTCCCTGGCCCCCACACTAGCGGGTGGAGCAACTCAGGGGGACTTTCTCCCACCCCACTTGTCTTCATCTCTGTAAGTGGCCATGGCGCCTGGTAAGATGCCAACCGGAAGAACTGAAGAAACCTCAAGTGCCAGCTGAAGGGACAATCAGAACCTGTAAAGCTTCTCTGCACCAAAGCTCAGCCACGTAGCTGTGTCTGTCACCTCCTAAAGCATACTACTCTTAAACAGTTCACTTCTCTCTGCCCTGGGCTGTTAAAGTAAAAATTAGATACTTCTCTAAATAACTCACATACGCAATGATGGTACCTGCTGCACCCTTCACAGCACTACCTCTTTTAGCAAACCAGGATAGGTTATATGGAGAGTGGTAGCTTGTTTCATAAAAGAATCTAAAGTAACAGCAACCAAAAGAGGCCATCACCTACTGGGCATAGTACTCTTGGGAGTGAGAAGAGGCACAGGACCTGTTCCTTATAGTCACATCCCTTGGTTGGGAACATCTCCCGTTTTCCCATCCATCCTTTTTTGGGGCACCGGGGATTGGACTCAGGACCTTGCACTTGTGAGGCAGGCATAGTGCCCCTGAGCTAAATTCCTGGCCCCCATCCATCCTTTTAAACCTGATCTACCCTTCTTTGGTCCAACTTAGTTAGACCCCACCTCCTCCTTGGCCTTTACCTGACTATTCTGGATTTTCCAGCCCCACTAAGAAGCAGCTGTGTTGTCTTGAGGCTGCACATGTCTTAGATTTGTGGGCCTCCATCCTCAGCTTAGTGGTTATGTCTACCTGTATATTTTATTTTATTTTATTTTATTTTGAGACAGGGTCTCACTGTGTAGTTGAGACTGACCAGGAACTCACCATGTAGCCCAGGCCGGTCTCAAACTCACAGCAATCCTCCTGCCTCAGCCTCCCGAGTGCTGGTATTGCAGACGTGCACCACCACACCCGGCCTACCTGTATATTTTAGTTTGGAGCCAGGTTCTAAGACCTAAATGTAAAGGATGGGATTATTTGTTTTCATTAGCTGTCCCTCACAACAGGGAGCTACAAAGTGCTTTGCAAACAGTACACTTAAACCCCACCTCCAAAAATTCAGATTGACCTGAAAGACATTTTATTTATAATTTCTTCTATTTACAGTACATGTCTTCATTACAATCATTGTTACAATAAGTATGGACATGCTAAACAGACCATCCCCACAGTGGCTTCCAGTCCGAGTCCCCAACCTTCCCAAGAGATGGCCAGGAAAGCCCTCAGGTCCCTGAGGGTGCAGGTATTTAGGCTCTAAATTTTAAGAATTAAGAAGTCAGCACAGCAAATCCTAGAATGCCTTTTAAAGCAACAGATGCAGGTTTTTACCAGATGATACAGAACAAATCCCGTTACTGAGAGGCAAAGGAAACACTAGAGAAGGCAGGGCCGTGTCCCATGGCCCCCGCAGGCTGTGCCTTGTTGTCATTTCCACCTGCCATGTGCCTCTCCAAGGAGGATCCAGTTCCAGGCGGGTGCACTTCCCACACTACAGCCCTGGCTGCCTGCAGTGGTGGTGGTTGGCAGTGGAATGAGAGAGAATTGAAGCAAACTGGAGCTTGGAGTCTGTTGGGATTCGTAGTGTTGATTCTTGAAGCCTTCTTTCTGCTGCCCTGGCTACGTTTCCTCCAGGCCACGGAGACTGAATCATGCTGAGGAGGAGAGGGAGGGAGAAATGCCACTTTTCTTCTCCCTGTGTGTCTTGTTTTTTGCGACCAGCCCTTAGGCCAGTGAAGTGATCTTTCTGTTCTCTCATCCGTGTACACAGCTTTTTGAAAGACAGTCTCACTGCTCTGGAGAGGTTTGCACTAGTTTCTGATTGGCAGTGTTGGGCCAAAGCCGTGGGACCACCTAGTTCATGTTGCTGGCCAGCCATGATGATGGTTGTCCTTGGGAGATGCCACCCAGGCTCACACAATACATCTGCACCCCTGTCAAGCTGCCTATAACCTTCCCTGATGAAACAGGCTACAAAGACATTGGACTTGCCATCATCCAAAATGTGGCAGTAGACAAGAGAATTTTTCAAGTTGGACAGAGTAGAAGAAAACAGATACTATAAAGAAATCTATGGTTCAAGAGGACATTCCGTGCTGTCAAAATGAGATTGAACCAGAGTTCCCTGTAAACTCCAAATAATCAGTGACTTGGAGCTGCCGGTTGAAGCTCCTTCTCAGTCATGGAACTGACTAATCTCAGGGTTCTCACCTCTATTAGAGGAAAATAAACAAAACTAAGTCTTCTCAGAAACTCTTTTTGCAACTTGTGGATGAGGTTTTGGAGACTCTTAGTTAACATTCCATAATTATTGGTCCTTAAATACTGTAACCATGCTGGAAGATAGCTTCCTGCTCTTAATAATATAAAAATGTGTTTTAGCTAAGCCATTATTAGACCTCCTTAAAGTCAGAGGATTAGACAAATAAGTCTTGATTTCAGGCTGGCGGTAGGAATACCACAGCAGTGACAGAAATGACCTTTGGACAAAAGAGACAAAGTCTTTTGCGCAATCATTTTGTTCCTGCCAATTTCTTGTAGTTTCAAAAGAAGGTCTATTACAAACATGTACTAATTTAAAAATGAAATAAAACAAGATAAAAAAGAAAAGCAGATTGGACCATCACAGCTGAGGTCTACTCTAGAAGGGAGAAACCAATTTTTTTTTTGTTGTTGTTGTTACCTGGGATTGAATTTAGGTATTTGCACTTGTGAGGCATGTGGCGGAATCACTGAGGTAAATTCCCAGCCCTCAGTTCATTTTTGAAGGAATAGCCTAGTTAATTGTAAAATCCTTAGAATATGAAACACAGCTGTGGACAGGCTGGTTGGTTGGGCTTTATGTTCAGTGCTTTTCATGTTGTGGCCTAATAGACATCTTGTGATTCCAGTTCTGACTCCAGAGTGAGACTGCTGGACAATATATGTCTTCTAATTGTTGATCTCTCCCTTCTTGGCATCCCTTCTCACCCTTTGTTTTTGTCTCTTTCTTTGCATCTCCACCAAGAAATGGAACTTGAAATTGCCTTTCTTGAAGGTCCAGTCAGGTCTGTGCCCTAGGGGACAGGACTGTGAAAATGGCCCATTATATTATTATAAGGTGTATCTCTTGCTTCATTTTCTTTCTGACAACCTGATCCTTCCTGTGTCAATTCTTTCCTTACATTTTGAGGTCAGATTTGAAGGGTTTGTCAGAGCAAAAGTAAACTCAAAGGAGCTAACTCCTTCCACGAAGAAAGAAACTGTTTCAAAAGCAACACCTAAACAGAGAGTGTACATTCTGGTCGGGAAGCTTGGAGAATAAACAGAATTTCCAGGATATTTGAAAACATACTGGGTAAAATCCTGGTTCGAAATGTGTTCTAACCATGGACAGCCCACATTTAGTGACTCGGTCTGTGACACAGAATCCATACCCCTCAGCCATCTCACACAGGTAGAGCAATCAGCTCAGAGTTCCTGCCTTCTGGTCCAAGAGCTCCTCCCATCCGTGGATCACACTGTGGGTGGCCATGGCACAAGGGGAGAGGGAGGCCAGCAGGCCAAGAGTCTGGAGTATTTGCAGGTTGATCTCCAGAGAACATTTTGAGGAGTTTCACGTGAAGCATTGTGAATAGCAAGGTGCTTCCTTGCATGTCCAGAAATGCCCAGGACCTCAGGGGAGAGTCTCCGTCTCCTTCTTGATGGCTGGTTTATAAATGACTCCCTTGTTTTCACCTTTTGTGCTATTGGAACAATAAGAGGACATAAGTCTTGTTAGTGAAGAGGAGGGAGTGAGCCAGAGAGCAGCCTGAATTGTGGGGTTTTAGAAGTCAGATTCCTCTCTTTGGGACCTTGCCTAGTTCCACTGGTGCTGGGAAGGATTTCCTCTAACCAGAGCTTTAATTAATTAAAACGGAACCTGTTCATTTTGCAACTGTTCTTTAACACCTGACAATAATAGACCTGCATTTTCAAAATGTTTTTATTTTTCATACCAGGAAAAATAATTATGTGTATGAAACTCCAAAAATTACAATAAAACTATAGGCCAAGGGAATTAATAGCTAATGTGAGAGATCAGGTTTTCCCTCATTTGTCTCTCTGGATTCGCAGAAGAAATACCATATATAAAGATCTTAGCAAGATGACTGCCTTGCTGACTGTATTCAGGTACAAACCCCAAATCAAGAAACTTGTCCAATGTCATAGGGATAATTAGCAAGGGCAGCAGGGTCGATACACCTCCAAGCCTGAGCACAGTGAGCTTTCCATGACAGTACCTTGTGTGAAGGAGGCAAGGACACTGGTGTTTGGGGTGTAACACTTCAAGGATAAGTACTGGTGAGACAACAGGGATGCTGCCTTCTGCAGGTTTGCCTTCGCACACAGACTGATCATCAGGGACACATAAGCCACCCATTTCCGCTTGAATCCAAACCGGCTCACCTCTTCTTCCTTCTGAAAAGCCAGATGGACACTGCCACGACAATGCAGATGCCAAGAATACCAGCCAGGGCCACGGACAGGATGATGCCTGGTGAAGAGGCAGCAGCACACGTTACATCCCCCCTCCCATCATATTCCAACCCTCACAGGTGTGCGTGCAGTCACGTCCTAGCTGCATGATTGTCTCCAGAAAGGTACATTTTCCCATCTCTGCTCTCCGATTCTGGCCTTTAGCTTAGCGGGGCTGGCTGTAGTACTTAAGAGCCCATTTAAAAAGTTAAAGTGGTATTCGAGCAGGGGTTCTCAAACTTGTACAAGATTCATCTGAAAAGCTTGTTCAAAAGGTAGGGTTGTTTGTTTGTTTTTCCCAAGCCTCAGAGACTCAGGTTGAATCCGTTTGGTTTTGGGCCTAGGAATCAGCTTTTGATCAGATGACTCCAGCTAATGCTGGTGCATGGGATCCTTGAACCACAGTTTGAGAAACCCTGAGCTATAGAGTCAGAACTTGTTTCACCTTTGCTTTCTGGAGTGAAGACCTACTAGAATGTTTCTGTCCCCAAGTTCTACTGCACTGATAGACAGTTACCTGACCTCCACCCTAGGCTTAGATGCATTTTCAGACAGTGCCCTCCCACCAGGACCAGCAGAAGGTCTCAGACAAGCTGTTTGTACACATGCTATAGAGTGATTAGGTCTTTGATTAGAGTGACATTTGATTGGCAGTTCGTCTTTGCATTAGAGGGTAACACAGATTAAGGAGGAGGCCAGGAGCCAGAGTGACAGCAGAGAGAAGCATAGGGGATGGTCTGAAAGAATCGCAGGCCCAGGTCACACTGAGAATCACAGAGATCACCCAGTTGCAGCATGCACGGCTGGCTAGCCACATACCCATACTCAGTTCTGCGTCGGTAAGGTGTTCCATTATAACGGGGAAGAAAAGATGCGAAATTAGAGTTAAACCGTGCTGAACCTGGCTGTGTGTTGAGAGAAGTTCTACCCTGTGCTTGGCTTATGCAGCCCTTCTGGGCGTGTTCACTTTTGACTCAGATGACTGCCTTATGGCATGGAGGGAGTGCCCACCTAGGAATTCTTATGTGGTCCCTCCTTCCTGTCTCCTTTACCACAGAAGTCTCTTTGCCAGGACAAGACTTGTTACTGACAGTATGGCCAGAGAGATGGCGAGGAAGGGAAGTCATTCAGCATTGTGGGGAGGTTGCTCTCTGCTTCTCTGATGCCTGCCGCCTTCCTCAGAGAGGTCTCTGCCACCAGCCTCCTCCCCAGCCCCCAGCCACTCTGTCATTATGTTACTTCTTTTGTTGCTTGGCCCTGCTGAATGGATACCTCCACCACGCCTGCTTCTCCTCTCTGCTTCATGGAACTAGGAGACGGTGCTTCTCCAAGTGAGTCACTGTTGGGGTTAAATGGAGTGAGTTGGGAGTCCTCGGTGGGACTGAACTAGTATTCCGCTATCTACGAGTTTCCCAGGGTATATCACATGTGAGTCCGTTTTCATGCATGAGCAGAGGAACCCAATTGTGCCATCTCCCTGGCCTTCCCCAGACTGCTTCTTTCAGGTTCTTTTGACTCTTTCCCTTTTTCTCAGTCAGGTCCTCTGTCTAAAGAAAATATCTTCTGGTGGTTTTCTGATCTCAACAGAAAGAAAGTGTGTGTGTGTGTGTGTGTGTGTGTGTGTGTGTGTGTGTGTGTGTGTTTTTGGTGGCGGATTCTCTCTCACACA